AAAAGGTTTATCAGAAGACCTAGATTGGGCATCTTCGCTGGCTCAATGATCTCTTTGACTAGACAAAAGCAAACTGGTCTTTAACTAAGTAAGAGCTGTGCGAGCATTTTCTACACTTAAGTCAAAATGCTTTAATCTATATTGCAACTAAATTGGAGAGGAAAAATCGTTTAGTTAGTATTACTGCTTGATAGTCCTTTGCACAAGCAGGATACTAAGCACGACTGGTCGCTTTTCAATTTCCACAATACTATCTTATTGCGGAAAACTTCAATAAAGGGACGCGTAAGAATACTGTCGACTGAAAGAAAGGATACCCGATCGCTAGGTCAAAAAAGTTTTTGTCTGAAATTCCGGGATTCGGAAGTTGCCCTTCTATGAAAAAATTACTTTTATTTGTTACTCTCTTGAGTTGTGGACTTGTGTGGGAAGCCGAACCCTCAGGCGAATAAAACACTTGGTACAGCGATTGCATCTACCTATTCTTAACTAATTCCTGGGACACACATTTTGATTATACTGACGTTAATTAACTATTCGCACAAACGGTAAGCACTCCTAGAATATTAGGCATCAGGTTACCGTTATGTAAATTTAACGTGAGCATTGTATGACTCATCCCATCCTAGATCCAAGGTCTTCCAGTTTTTCGAGTTTTTCTATGTCTCCGGTCCGTTGTATAGGACTGTGTTTGCTTATTAAACTATCCCTATGTAAGTGAAGCTAGTTTTTTGTCAAATGATTTCACACAGTTTTCCGCGTTATCCTCAAAGGCCACTTTTGTGGTGATTAATGTTTGCGTAGTTTACCATTTATGCCTTCTGTTTGCTATTGCTTTTAGGATGCTTAAAATTCAATTATACACCCTCTTCTGTTTTCTTCAGCAAATTAATCCATATTTTAAAATGCCTATAAGTAAACATTTTCAAAAAGAGTTTTATTGTGAGGCGACAAACCACAGGATGCCACTTAATATCAGTTGTTAATTATTCTACAAAGGATTCCCACATATATTAGCAAAAATTATTCACAAAAAATTAAATGACGCCTGCAGCTTCGTGCAATTAAAAAAGTCGTACTACTTAGTCCCAAATTTTCAGAGATTTATTGAGGATTTGGGAATAAGGATTTCTACAAGCACACTTATTCCCTACGAAACTGCAAGTTAACTTTTCCTTTCCAGGTAAGACATCTACACTTTCGTGAACTGTTATTTGATTCAATTGGAAAGAGGGTTGCTGGCTCTGAAAACAAGCCGCACTCTTTGCTTCAACTTTTGCCATTTTTTACGACAAACTATTAGCTATTTTGTTGTACACAAGTAACTGAAAAAAGCAGGTCACAGTAGCCTACAAACTGTAACATAAATCACTTTGGTATGTTTTATTTTATTGCAGTTTAAAGTGGTTGTTACTGCCTGCACGGGGAACAAAGTTGCCACCCAGAACAGGCATTCTTACTTTCACACAAAACAATAACTTTTGACTGTTGACAAGGCCTAATTATTGGGCACACAGGAGGTGCACTGATTGCTTTTGGTGGAGCCTTTTACTGTTTTATGCCTTTTCAGGTTAAGAACTTAGATATTCTGCTCTAACTGTTCCTTTTTGCTTAAGTAGAAGAGGTTCGTTGTCATTTTAGACTTTTTTTAAAATTACATTAGATATCTGGTTTAACTATTTTCCAAAACACTTTGAAAGTATGATTTTAAAGTGCTTTTAACTTACCGCTTTCTTCAAGGGTTCCGCTCGACCATCGACTGCTTATGTTTTCGCCAAGACGCATACCATCCACTGTAAATCCACTGTTAGAAAGGCAAATTTCGTCAACGAGATAGTCCGCCCATTCTTGAGCCATTGTAGAAAGGCGCTGAAACACAACCATCGCGGATTAAACTCGGCTAATTAATCATATCCTACTTTTTGGCTATTTATTCGACAAAAAAGAACGATTTTCAGTAAATTTTTACAAGCCCAACTTCGGTTATTTCTGCACTAGTGGTTGATTTCAAATTCCATTGTTCAGGCTAATGCTAATGGCATGATGTTTGCAGAGAACTATGGATTTGGTGTTAGCAATAGTTATGAGCTGTTTTCTTGGTAAACGGACAAATGATCGTAATCTTGGTAGGGTTTTACACAGTTGGATACTAACCACTTAAAAAGGGCAGAAAATGATTGGCTCCCAACCAAATAACAAAAACTTTTTTAGCATCTGGTTCGAGAGGAGTAGACTGTTACATCTATCAGAAACAGAAGGTCTTTTGTTAGCTGTCCATACTCCCTATGACGTGACGCTGGGGGCGAATTCTTAGTTCCCCGCTCTCGCCTACTGACATTATACGCTTCCACACGTCACGCGTCCAGCAGCACCTTTTTTATGCTGTCTTGTTACGTTTTTTAAGGAAGCAGGCACACATGTGCGCAAGGGGTTGATTATGCTGCCGATAGAACGATATTCTGGAGTTAAATTATGCCAAGTTAAGCGATCAATGTCAGACTACAGCCAGCATAACTTAAACCGCTGTTTTCTCTTTTCTTTTCTGGTATAACAAGTTTTGGAGCGGGCAGTAGTGACAATTAGGCTGCTTAAGATACGCATACTTGATTATGCTACGAACATGAATTTAACCCATCAGCAACTTCGTGCCACCGCCGCTCTAAAAACGTAATGTGCCACTGTATTTTGACCTTCTCTTTCTCCAATTGTTTGCAAGGGAACTGAAACAAGACACGCGGCGACGACCTTACGGCTTCAACCGACGCACTTACGGTGGTGAAGAGGAACTTGAAGGTTCAGGCAGCTTAGTTGTAATTTATAAAAACCAGTTGAGATAGCCGCCTTAACCACGGGGTTAAAGCAGGCGAACACCGACTTGAAATTAGTTTACGGCGATATGAAGGGAAATTTTGCACGATATAGAGGAGGGTTATAAGCATAATATTAATTAGATACACAAGTAGTAAATTAAAATATTTTGCGCAAATGTCAAAATATTTCAACTTGAAAAAAATCAACTAGACCACCACCAATCTGTCTGACAATTTACCTACTAACTGCGAAACGAAGACATCCCTTAATTCGAAATGACACAACTTATATACCAGCGTACTGTTTTAAAAACACATGCATTAGGATTTTAGCAGTTGT